TGATCGCCTGATACTGGGGTTTTGTGGCAAATCGAGCAGCGGAATCCTCAGCATGGACAAATCCGTGTCATAACAGCCCATTTCAAACCAGCAGAGAGCTTCACTTGTTTTAAAACAATAAAACAAGTTTTTATGTATATATAACAAATTAAGTGGCATGTTATTGTGGGATCTTACCATGCTGGCAGTGGTTTCTGAGCTGAAGTGGGATATCTGATCAATTTAATAAATATTATATAAATAGACATCTTCTTGTTTTATTGTTGCATTAATTTTAATCTGAAAAAATACTCACAAAGTAGGTCAAGTGTATGAATAAATTATTCATTTATTTACTAAAGTACATTTTTTACAGTTATTTATGCTCTTCCGTCTTATTTGCATGAGTGTACATGACATGCAGATTGTTTTAATTAGATATACCCAGTTATCATTCATAACTATATATGGTTTGTTTAAAAAATGCTGAAAAAACTAAAAAGTTAGCCAAATGAAATAAATGCACTAATAACTTGACAAACATAGCTATGGTAGTTGCTATTTATTATATAAAAAAACTTCTGTCAACATACACTCTGCACGCATAATCTAAAAGCTGGAATTGCCTATTGCACTTGGGTCCCTTGTTTTCAATGGTGCTGGCCGTATTCTTACATTGAATTCACTGTTTTACCTTGTTCATGAAGAGCAAGGTATTATGCCTTAATTTTTCAAATGATGTCAGTAGTTTTTCTCATTAGCAACACCGATGCACTTGAATGGTACAGAGTGGGCGATTTCATCCTCCTCATCACTTTCGTCTTCATCACTTATCTTGTCCATCACTTTCTGCCCTATCACCTTGATCACCTCTTTCATTATCGTACACATCCTGAATAGGCTCAAGACCAGCCAACCACTCAAGTAAATCTCTTTCTATAAAATCATAACAAGGAAATTATTATTTGATACATAGCAAAAATATACAAACAGCAATATTTCAGAGTTCCAAATCCTGCCCTTTAAGCCTGGAAACACCACTTTCAAAAAGTTACCAATTTAGGCAATTATTTTGTAAACTTACCGTTGTATATGTGTATATTAAATAATAATAATAATAATAAAAATAATAAACTTTCCAAACTTAGGCAGGAATTGAAGCACAAACTAGGCTTTGAAACATGGCAGTCAAAGGTTGCAGTAAACTGTTAAATATACATTGAAATCTATCATAATAATTTATATATTTTAGAATTTTTAAATAATTTATAAGCAGCTTACGCATTGCCTTCACAACAGCATATATGTTTTATATTTATGGACTGATCTAAAAAGCTCAAGATTAAAGGAATACCGAATGGTTTTCCGTGCAGGATTGCGTGATCCATGCACGCGGGATGTTGTGAGACTTTCGCAAAGCGTGAAAATACACGAGCCGTAGGCGAGTGTATTTTTACGCTTTCCGGAAGTCGACCAACATCCCAAGTGCATGGATCATGCTATCCTGCACGGGAAACCCATTTGGTAATTGTTTTATAAAATTACTACAGTCAAACGACGGTTAACTTGATTAGAATTACTGATGAACTGTGCAGTTTTCACAACAATCGTGAATTAACGAATCGGAGAATCGCTACTCCACGCTATTGAAAACAACAACAAATGTGAACAGAATTTGATCACAAATTCGCGAAAATATACAGCGAAAATACAGAGACTTTTTAGATAAAATATACGAAATTTGAAATGGAAAACCCGCTATAAACAGAGAGCCAAAGTAGTTTTAAAATTCTCGACTTGAATACTTGAAGATTGCGAAGCGTATGGACTTTGAAGCGAGAGATGTTGTGCACTTGTACTTGTCATGGTCTGATGAATTTCAACGCTACGCGTTGCTACTTGCTGGACAGCAATGTATCGATCAGAAATTTAGTCATACAACTAAGCAAACGTATCAATAATTGCAAACTTACTTCAAAGTCGAAAGGTATCGTACAAAGAAACTTTACAATGCGAGTATATTTGTAAAATTATGTGCAAGAATTTCTGTTCAGAATTTCCAGTGCAGGATTGTCTGATCCTGCACGGCTGTTAACCAGTCAAATTGTGTCTTTCACTGTAGTTATTATATATGGTCAGATCATGTTTCATTGTAATCTTATTACGATTGTCAACGCATTGGCTTCCAACCGTGACAAGACGTCATTGCCTTTTTTATGCGAGAAAACTGGGAACAACTTAGCTTTAACAACTCTAGGTTGTTCTCGGGCTCTTGCACACAAAAAAACAGGTTGTTCTAGCTCAACCTTCCCAAACAGCCAAACTCCTCGGCCAAGTAAATATCTGCAGGCCTTATACATACCTGTTTGTCTGGTTGTAATTAATAATTTGCGTTCAAAGGTTTAAGGTATAGATTGATAGAATATGTATATGCAGAACACTTGCGCCTAATATTAATATGGTTTAATCGTAATTGTTATTGTAAAGTTCTATATCTATAGAGGAACAGCACTGCCACTGGCATGATATAGAACGTCATAGACGATAATAATTCGACATGAATTTATTGCGCAAACCCTACAAATTCAGACTATGAGTCAAGTGGTTTCAACGTTTCAAGTTTGGTATATACTCTCCTCAGCCGCCAGAGGTTTTTTGTATTAAAATGTACAGTTATTTAATAAAAAATAAGTGGTTCACGTGCTTTATTGTGCAATAAAAAATTGAAAAATTGGGCAATCAAAACAAATATTAGGCTAACCCCAGGCACGAAAGAAATGCCATTTGGAGCCCTGAATATTTAGATGAAAATTGAAAAAATATTAAATTACAGTTTGCACATTTAAACAATCATCCACAACTAGATACAAACAGGCATCACACTCAGCAAAAATTTATAAAACAATACATACAAATAGCTGAATAACAATTATCTTCAGACTCATCTGAGAACCAATGTTTATTATCAACCTCGCAAGCCAGGGTCTTCTACCTACGCTGGGCTGCGGCGAAGACCCTGGTTCAGGCTGGTCACGTGACACCTCAAAATCTCCCAAAATCTGGGAGATTTTTAATTAGCGCTCAATTCAACTCGTAGGGAGGGGTGGCAAAGTCAATATGCTGCTTTTAGCACTTATTTGCAAATGGGACGTCTGGCGCCGTGATGTCTTTTGCAATGCCGAAATGCAATATATACTAAAAAATCGCGGCTCATACATTCAGATAGCAAATATGGCGCAGCGAAAAGAAACGCCAAAGAAGGTATACGCCAAATCGAACTTAGATTCAAAGTCTATGTGTCGACTTTGTTGCAGCATAATCGATCCAAAACACTGCAAAAACCTGTAGCCTACAATAAGGCCAGTGTAAACGTGCTTGCTTCTGCCGAATTATTATACGGTGGAAAACTACTGCGTGGCGATTCACTTCCTCATCTCGTATGCCGACCTCGTGAAAGACGACTGGATAACTTCATGAAGTTTAAAAACATGATATGTGATAACCAAGACTCCATGATGCGCCAAAAGAGATGCGTTGAGCTTTCGCCTTCTGCACCTACCGCTGATGAAAAGAGTGCAAAAACAGACACACTAATTCGTGGTAAATCCTCTCAAAGACAAAGTCGTCGAAGCCTTTCCTCATCATTTGAAACATACGATCTCCCCTTGGAACCTACATTGCCCAAGGTATATGCTATATTTACTGTAAATAATCATTCTATATGCTTCATCTAGGGAACTTTCATTTTATAATATTTTAAAATTAAAACTTTATATAACTTTTGGTTTATCATAAATATAGATTAATGTTGAAACTCAGACCGTCGAAGACACCGTTTCCAAACCGGCACTGAATGGATTGCCGTTCGGTGAAATACTCAAGAAAATAGATGAAGAACTACGAAAGATCGCGCGAAGAGACATGAATTCTGTTCTTCGCAGAAAGGATTTTGACGCTATGAGTAGTTTTTCGTTGGAGAACATTCTCAAAGAGCTACGAACTGTGTGCCCAGTAACATTCACAAGTTTATCCCAGATGCTAGATTTGGACTGTGGCAACGAAAAAAAAGTTGCTCCTCTGTGCCTTATTTACGGCGTGTTGATGTTTAGACGATGTCATGAATTGAGTTTAATACTTAACAATTATTCGCCGAAGGCGAAGTGATTACCAGTGAATATTCACCGAGACGAAGTCGAGGTGAATATTCACCGTAATCACTGAGCCTGAGGCGAATAATTGTTTTAGTATAAATTTTTAATGAATAAAACAAAATATCCAAGTTATCCAACTATAAGTTTAATTAAAATTCAGAAATAAAACTGTTTTCGACCGCTTTACGGTTTAGTGTTGCAGTGTTTCTTGTACACGCACGCTTTCAAAATGGCATCCTGTGCGACTTTATTGCTTTATTACAAAGTTATTTTTCTCGATTTCTGCTTAGAATATAAACACAATGATGGAATGACGTTTTTACCAGACTTAGAATTAAAAAATAGTTTCTGTTTAGCATTAATTTGTTCAGGAAATGGCTGAGAAATTTGGTAAAATGAAATGTAAAACTATATCGTTCAAATTAATATAAAAGTTTTAATACACTTTTCACTTTACAAGTTTTAAAAACACAAATAGTACAATACAGCGAAAGGACACCATACAGCACAATGAAAACACGACATAGTCAAAAGAAATAGTATCGTACAAATTGAGATATTTATAGGATACAAAACAAAATTGTTTTAAAAAGAATACCACGGCTTTTCCCAAAAGTGGGGATATTTTTTGCTATTTCAGATTTACGTTTGAAGCGAATGTTTCGGAGTTTTAAATAAGTTTTAAATTGTCCGTGAATATGTTTGACACAGTAATATAATACTAAATCCTACCTTTCAAGTTAAATACAACATTTTGTGCTTTTTTTCTTTTTCTGGGACGATTTTTTCAATATTTTGTCGATTTTGAAACCAAATTTGCCGAATCATTCTTTTTGAAAAGCATTATTTACTACCCAGGTGGTAAATAATGCCTCAGATTTACTAGTCAACTAGCCAATCAGAACGCGCGAAAGCTCATTTGATATGCAAAATTTATACTAAAACGCCTTATTACCATCTTACTAGCTGACAGTGACGCCAACACGGAGGTAAATTAACACAAAATATCTATTTGACTAATTTTTTTTGACTGCCGATAAACAATGTTTCGTGTTTTTTTTTGTATACAGGGTGTATCAAAATTAGCGTTTCAATGCCTATAATTGAAACGGTAATTATAATTTATAGTGTTTGCAGGGTTTTTTTATACACCCTGTATAGTCTGTACAAGCATTGTGATGAGCAGCTAAAACTTTTTGCAAATTTGTTTTAAATTTTAATATTATATAGTTCGTAGCAAAGCCACTAATCTTACTTGTTTTATACTTGGGCATAAGCTATTTTTTACGCACCTTTTCATGGGATTTTCAATGTTCATAAAATTTATTATTTCTGTCGCAAATAGTGCACAGATTTTGTGCCTGGTGTTGTCAATTTCATTTCAATCAAGTCGAATTCTATTGTTGTGATATGTCACGCAACATTAAACGCAATCGTATCAAAACAAAAGCCTGCTGAGTCTTGTCATATAATTTATAGTTTATATTCGTTTGGATAGATAAGTAAATATTGCACGGGCCGTGACGATTTGCGGCGCATTACAGTTACTGTAAAACTGGTCTAAAGACTAAAATCTTACATACATTGTTCTAATAGACTAAAATTGCCAATTATTATATTAAAGGCTGATTTCCGCTGTTGCGTTTTTCGTACGCACGTCCACGCACATAAAACTTTGAATCCTTCAATTTTTTTAACATTTTACAAATAAGTTGACAAATGCATACTAAAACTTGTGGAACACTAAATTCTGTTGCTTTATTTATTTGGTTATTTCATAAGTAACATTTAAACGGATTTAAAGTTTTACGTGCGTGTACGTACGTATGAAAAACGCAACAGTGGAAATCAGCCTTACAACGCGCTTGTACTGTGGCCGTGGGTTCAATTCCTACCAGAGGACCTTGTGCTGCATTTTTGCAGTCGTTCCTGGTTAGGTCTTAAAATGTATATATTCTCACTTGGATTACAAACCCTAACATACTAATATTGTACTGTTGTACAACGTTTTAGTACCCTGAAGACGACATGGGTTCACGTGCCAAAAGCTTATTTTAAATAAATATTAATGGTGAAAATAACTTAAATTAGCAACATTAGTTAATATTTTGGCTAATTGTGTTACTAAAGCTTTGCATGTCCTTTTTTATATGTATACTGTAGGTATATGAGAAATTCAACAAGTTTGGTCTTTGTCTGGTAAAAACAATGAAGTATACCATACAGGAAGACATTGGTGCTCATTTCCTAGACAAAGTCGTACAGGAAGTTAAGGATGGAAGAACATTCTCCTTTGTCATTGACAACATTGACTGGGAGGAGCATGTTCATGAAATGCGGTCAGATAACCAAAACCAGAGTGTGCATGCCGTAGCAACATCTATAGTGTTTGATCGTGTTTCATCCAGCCACTTTGCCAAATGAAGAGCCACAGCAGTCCTTAGCTTCTTGTGATGTTGTCAAATTAGTCCAGTTATCGGACAGTGATATTGCAATTCAAAAGCGAGTTTATAAATCAATAGCCGCACATATTCTTTGTG